TAAATACGTCGTCATTGCATTGCACAAAGTGAAATACACTGTTTATATAAGTTTTTTTACGTTTTAACGTTTAGTATAGATTTCTCAGAGATGAGATATTTTCCCGTGATAAAAATTATCCTATATATTGAACCGGATAGCCAGCTATCATCATAACAAATTTCATCAAAATACCTCCAGTGGTTTTACCGTGATGCGGTAACAGACAGGCAGGTAACAGACAGGCAGAAAAAATTCTAAAAACTACCTATAGATTCGGCCTCTGTATCGATAATAATGTCTATTTCAATAAGATTTACCAAACATATTTAATGTACAGATGCGGCTTGGTTACAATTATTGTTTTATATGTATAGATATTATATATTACTAGGCATATTTTGGCAAATAATTTGCATGAACCTTGCGAATATATGAAATGAGGTTTTATAATTGCCATTTTTATGTTAAAACAATCTTCTTGGATAAATTGTTTCACTCAGTCACTAATTATATCCCAAAGACCGATCTGATATATTAAAATAAAAGTCTAATCTCCATCTCATAAACCATCTTTATAAAAAAAAATACGCTTGTGTATACTTAAGTACGCACATAAGAAGTTATACTTCTTTGACGTAACAGAACAAAAATACTCGTAGCTAAAGATTTCATCCCGTATGTCACAACTCTGTTTGTAACAGGAATGCAGCTAACTTCATAATGTCGATTATTGGCTGTCGGTGTGCACGCGTCGTAAAAATTTTACTCACATTTTTTTTTAAATGTGTCAAAAGAAGTATAACTTAAAAAATCAAATCTGTTTCTCTACTATACACAAACAGACACTATTTTCGCATTTATAACATAAAAAAATAACTCTCTCACAAACAACAAAAAATAAACGCTAATAAAAAAAATTACATTAATTCAAAGCTAAATATGAACATATCAATCCCACGTCAAACTAATGGCGAGAATAATGATATAAACAGCATTTCTCATGGACTTAAAAAACATAAGCTTATAATGAGTTATAAGTTAATTAGACTCATTAAGTTTGTGACATTACGATCGCTTGATACAACACACGCGATGGTGTGGGATTTAATTTTTAAATGAAAATATTTATAGCTTACATCAATGCCTATATAATATACGTATATGTTAGTAACTGTACTTTACTGTACTCGATATCAATAGAACTATTCAGCTGTATGAAGTTAGCCCTTTATTTTTAGTCTATACATATAATAAAATTGTAACTAAGCCGAATCTGTACATTAAATATTTTTTTGGAAAATCTTATTGCAATAGACATTATTATCGATACAGAGGCCGAATCAATAGTTTTTAGAATTTTTGTCCGTCTGTCTGTTACCGCATCACAGAAAAACCACTAGAGGGATTTTGATGAAATTTGGTATGGTGATAGCTGATTATCCGGATCAACATATAGAATACATTTTACCGCGGGCAAATATCTCATATCCTGGAAAAAATACAAAAACTGCAATGTAAGAGTATACTAATATGTAAAACCTAAGAATTTGGTTTTTGGTCATCTGAACGCGGGCAATGCTAGTAACTACATATATATAAATAGGAAAAGATAAAACAATTCAGAACTTTTTTCTCCCCTGTTTATCAACCGGTTTTCTTTTTTAGGGTTCCGTACTGAAAGGGTAAAACGGAATACTATTACTAAGACTCAACAAATACTAAAAAACAGAATAAAATAAATATTTAAGGATTCCCATACAAATTGTTTTATTATCATTATTTGTGCCGTTTTTATAGATAATGGTACGGAACCATTCGTGCGCGAGTCCGACTCGCACTTGGCCGGTTTTTTTAATTTGTAGCTATTGACTAGCTGTAGTGTTATAAAAAGAATTGTTGGAAACTGTATTTATATATGTTTTCCTCACAATCATGATTATATGGTCGTATTTCGACCACTAGGCGAACGTAGTAGTCTTAAATAAGTTATAAGCTCTAAATTATTCAGAGAACTTTATTTCTTACTGATAGGTGAAAATTTTTACTTAACATCTACATCACTCACACTAAAATCTCCTTATAAAAAACCTTTTTATATAAAAATCATGTTCTTTGAAAAATCTTCTCTTTACTTGTAAAACATTTAAATGTCCTCTAAGCCTTGATGATGTTTGATTAAACTTAGTTGGATTACAAATAGTTCGTTAGTACTTTACATATTTGCTCTTTAAATAAAAAGGTACAAAGATTATAATTATTATGTAAATTCCACCTTCAATAAAACTACTTTGGAGGATTTCTTCGCGGATTGTTTTGATTTTGGTTCCCAACTTTTCAAATACTTTATTTACAGCTAGCATGATCACAAAAGAGATGTAGATATCTCATAAGTTAGTATGTATTTGTTACAGACAGAAATATATTTTTAGTATAGTTATTTCAGACAGTCATCTTAGGGATAAAATTTACTACCATCTAAAAAAACTAATAACAATTTTAACACAAGTAACTGTTAAAGCAGCTAGCTATCTTTACGATTGTGAAATAGCGATATAAATAATTCATAAATAAGTAAATAATAATTGCATGTACATAACAAGATAAAATATATGCCCTAGATAAGGCGTCGGATAGATTAACGAGCTTGACTAGATCTCTACGTTAGGTAACAGCCTAATATGGATCGAACTTAGATTTAATTTGCTATTTTTTATTAAAGAACGTTCATTAAGTGTTATAACTAAATTAAAACATCAAATCTCATGATAGATATTACGCTTTAAGGCTACATTTTGCATGTGATTTTGTATATATTTTGTATAGAAGCGGACTAAATATGCTATAGTAAACTAAATATTTATATATATAAAAATGAATCCCTATTTCCCTTGGTCACGCCATCACGCGTGAACGGCTGGACCGATTTAACTATTTTTTTTGTTGTGTTTGTTATTGTCAGGAGAAGGTTCTTATGAAAGAAAAAATTTAAAAAATTGCGCGGAAAATTATAACAATTAAGAATACATATTTAAGAATACTTAACAACCATATAATATTATTTCTAATCTAACCTTAGCGCTTTAGACAATATAAACTTTTTTAATGTAACATTTGACATAGAATTATCAATATAATTAAAAAAAAATAACTTTATATATGGCTAACGCTGGCTAATAACTGTTTATATCTATTTAAAACGTACCTAGCGACGAACCCGAGCGAAGCCAGGTAAGCCGCTAGTTCTAAATGAAACCCTTCATTGCAGAGAATTAACTGATTAACTTCTTACTTCTTTCTTTAGAATTTAGACTAGACAAAATAAAGATAAATTAACTTCAAAATATCAATTCGATAGTGAATTGATATTTTTTGTTATAATTTAGTTTCCGTTATCATTTTGTTTTCTATGGTATTAGATTTCAAAATAATATAAAGCACTTATTAGATTTAGATAAAAAATATATTATCTTGGCCGATTTTCTTTAACAGAAAAACTTAGTACTACGTAGCAAATATTTAGATCGACGAATTGTCAAATACAACAATTCGAACTCAGGACCTCCGGATCTACAGCCGTATATAACTAAAAAAATGTATACTAATGTTACTTGCTTAAAAAATTTAATGGCACTTAACTAAAACTAACAAAAAAACTACAATTATTCTTAGAAAAGTATCATTATGCCCACAACCACAAAGCCTTTCAACTTAATTTAGGCTAAGATATCAAAATAATTATATGTATGTGTACAATACTACACTAAAATATTCTTGATGTATTAAAAAAGCATCAATGAAAATATAAGCTTTGTCTGGAAATAAACCATTTCTAACTTGACAAGTACATATTAATGACATCCGGTTAAAAAAGCACGTTGCCATGACAACGAGGTATCAACACAATTTGTAAACGGTGTTAAGGGAAAATTGGCTTTATACTGTAAACATAAGGATGTTTTTAGAATGCTCATAAAGCGGCCTTGATGTAACGGAATTTACGGAATAATTTAAATACATGGAAAATGTTAGGCCATTAGGAAAACATGTTAACTTTTTTAACAATTGCTTGGATTTTTGGTATTTTTTAAGTGAAATTATGGTAATGGTATATGAAAATACGTATATTATAGGTATTTATGGGTTCGAATCTTGTTTAGATTTATTAATTATATATTTATATTAATCCTTTGTTAATAGTGACTTTTTTATAATATACTTTTCTTACTTCTGATCTGCTTGCACGTTTAAATAAAGAACTGTTATCTCTTTTACACAGCAATTTGTGGCTTACCATTGATATTATGATGGAGATTTGCTTTATTCCCACTAGCGGTCTATATCTTGTGGTAAATGTAAGGTCTCCCATTTAAATGACGGAAGTAATTAAAAAAAAATCTTCATAAATAGAAAAAAGAATCAGTTACGTTAGTCGAACTCTCGCTATAGGAATTTCATACTAACACATAATATAGTGTTATATATTAATAAATAAAATTTAATTTTGTATTATACTAGCGACTCACCCTCGCTTCGCTACTGTTCGTCCCTAGGTACGTTTCAACGTTTAGAAAAGAATAGATAGACTACATATTATATAATATAGCCCATGCCGTACTCAATAAACGGGCTATCTAATGCAAAAAGAATTTGACAACTCAGATTAGTATTTCCTGAGATTAGCACGTTCAAACAAACAATCAAACTCTGTCTCTTTATAATATTAGTATAGATAGATACATAGCACTTGAAAATACATACTAGGTTAGTCCTTCTTATTTGTTTTATTTCTGGGTTTTTAATACGCTTAGCCACACCAATTTAATCTAACGGACAGCTTAAGTAATAGGATTACAACAATAACATATATATGTATTTTGTATGTAAAGTTGTAGACCACTTTATATTATAATTCATAATTTTTACAGCAAATAATGTTTTCAAGAGGAGCTTTTTCATTATTTGAATGAGCAATACAGAAATACTAAGCAATTATGTATGAAGATGTAATAAAACAATAGTTTTGACTTTGCTGAGTCTTGGCACTGGGAGAATTCACAGGAGTTATATAAGTATACCCGTGAGTTTCCTGATGCCTTAGCTCAGTGCGTCGATATCATCGAAAAACCTAAAGAAGAACAGAAAGAAGAAGAAGAAAAAAAGAAAGAAGAAGCATGACAGACTAAAAGGAAGAAGGATTAAAGAAGAATGTACAGAAATACTTATATTAAATAATAAGCAATATTTGTATTAGGTTTTGAGTGAATATTTTCGTAATAGAAGTTATTGTTAAAATTATTAATATTTGTTTAAAATTTAAATATTTTTAATTTTGTATTTGTATTGTGTAAAAACATCTCTTTTTAATGGTTATATATTGTGAAAATAATTGCATAAAAATAGTATAATAATAATAAAAAAGTTCTTATGTATCTTGAATGTAAAACATAAAATCACCGTAATCTATACAGTTATACAGTTAAATAAAATTGTAGTGTATTTAATGTTAAAATAACAGCTTTTTACTAAATGCCTATGCAATTCAAATCAAATCATATAAAAAAACACAAATTTTAAAGTTTTTGTCGGACTGATTTTGACGAGACTTTCACTGGCAGATAGCTGATGTTATAAGGAGTAACTTAGGTTACCTTTATTTTAGAAAAGGTTCCGATCAAAAAAAATTAAAACGTACTTAAGGGCGCACCCGAGCGAAGCGTAGGAAAGTTGCTAGTGTTTAACATAAAATTGTATAAAATATTTTTTATACATATTGCCTTAGGATTGACATGCGTAGGCATTTCTATTTCGTCCGCTACCATACATGACTCACGCTTTATGTGGGAGCCGTAGAAGCGTCGTGCCTTTAAGTTAGGTTATTTTTTATAAAAATGGAAGTTTGAAAGTCGTTAACGTATAGAAATTTACAAATGAACTATAGAAATAACTTTAATCATTATTTCCTAGAATATAACAAATCACATTAAAATACGAGTATACTTTAGTCAGACTCTTGAGTCGTAACTTTTTACAGTTTTTAAAACTTAAGTAAAATGTCAGTATGTAAGTCCGCGAGAAATCTACCACCGAATCTTAAGACAGTTCTGCGGAAAAGAGACCAAGAGAAAGTCATCACTCATGGCTTTACCATAGTTTTAAGATTTTTCTTGTATAATGACCGGAGATTGACATCGTCTGTACCTATACAATACAATTATTTCTATCACATATTGTTAAGTGTTGATATCAACGTTTTATCTTTCAAAGACTGTAAATTATTGAGGCTTGTTCCCTTATAAGAAAATAATTATAAGTGACGGTGGTTAAACAATGAGCATTGTGCGAGCTCGGAAGCTTGTCACCTTTATCGTTTTAATTATATATATGTTCCAACGATACATACAGACAAGCAATTTATTAAAAAGACTTAAAAAAATAATATTAGAATGTATTTAAAAAAATCTTTATTTATATAGGTTTTGAATCCAAATAAGTTTGTTATTTTAATTTTGTCACATCATTTGAATTTAAACTTTGACTAACTCCAATATCACTTTTAAAGTAAGTATTCATAATAATTAGGAACGGATTTTATGAAAAAAATAAATAAATTATATTTTTTATTCATGAAAATCGTTAAAAAATTCAAATCGATCTCCTGAATTTAGTGACTCTTATTTTTCGACCCTGTTAAATAAATAAAACATTAAGCACGGTGATCGTAAGTATGATTCATCTATATGTATAAAAACTTCCTGTCGTATTGTTTTGTTGTATGTGGATAATTCTCAATGAATGTAGCGCAAGTAATAAGATTAAAATATCGTTTACAATATTTTCAAAGTTTTCGATAGCCAGTTTATCTATTCACTAGCATTATAAATTTGCTCTTCAGCAATAAAATGTACGTAGTGCAAAACACATGCTTTAATTTCCGATCCCCTAACTTATAGATCGTAACCATATAAAACACTTCCATAATCCACATCTACAGATTTTTATCTACATCGCGATTTCTATCTTAAACTTATTGTATTGGATAGAAATCGCTAACCGCTTACATCTTAAGTATAAATGACTTAACCAGACAGTTATCTACATTATTGTTACTACAACAATCGACCTTTAATCCATAAGTAATGAGTTTCAACATTACATCACCGTTAAGTAATAAGCTTAACGCTTTTTTGTGTGCTTTATGAGAATTGCTATTGATTGGGCATAGTTTTTCTTTGTATACTATACTCATATATATTTATACGAAGTATTCACATATGTGCCTGTATTTAGGATTTTTTTTCAGTATCACTGCTGGGCATGGGTATCTCTTCTATGCAAGGGGGATCAGGCCTTAGTCCATCAGCTAGCCAAGGGCGAGTTGGCGAACTGAGCATGTCTTTCGAAAACTTATTAGATTCCCTCAGATATAGGTTTTCCCATAATGTGTTCCTTCACCGTAAGCCAAATCACGCCAGAACGGCTGAACAGACCTGGATGAAATTTGTCACAGAGATAGATTATAGTCTGGAATAGCAAATAGGCTACTTTTTATCCCTGAAAAATGTACGGTTCCCGTGGGATAGACTTGTATTTGTTCAAGTAGTAGTATCTAATAGTTTACTAAAAGATAACTACGATCTAGATATAAAAAAAGACTGTCATGGACACTTGTATTCTGCCTTGCTTGACCTACGGCTCTCAGACTTGGACGCTTACAAACAAGATAAAAAACAAACTAATAAGTTGTCAGCGGGCAATGGAAAGAAGTATGCTGAGCCTAAGGAAAATTCATAAAGTAAAAAGCAAAGACATAAGAAAAAAGACAAAACTATTCATATACATATAATTTTATTTATATAAAATATTTTTTCACAGAAAACCACACGCAATAGCCACTAGAATTTCGATAAAAACTAATCGTTACTAACATAACATAATCGTCGACGTTTTAGCAACTTTGTTTATTGCGCTCTTTGATGTGGAAATATTGAATTGTTACTCAATATTAATAAAAAAGATTGCGTTTGAAGACACGCTATACATGAATGTTAGATTATATGCAACATAATATGCGCTGTCATTCAAATTAGTTTCCTGCAGTAATAATTCTTATTCATATCCTTAAAAATAAAAATGTATGTTTGTGACGATGATGTTCTCCTGACCGATTCCGGCCACGGCGGCCAATCTCATTGAGACTAGCTAACTGCGCAGGGGATATTATAGTGCACAAGTGTACGCGCAGACACAACGTGCACTCTCTATTCCTGTCACTCTCATACTCTGGTGGGACGACCACTCGACACGACCAGTGAGAGATAAGGCGAAGAACTGACGGCTCTACGTGCTCTCCGAGGCACGGGGGTGAAGCACCGCCAACTTCCCAACTCCGGGCTGTTACTGAGGCTTACTATACAGAAAGACTCAATAACTAAACTTGGCCCGACCCGGGACTTGAACCCAAGACCTCCGGGTGTGCAGCCGTACATGCTAGTCATTACACCACCGAGGCAGTTGTATGATGTATGTATGTATATGTGCATGTATATGTAAAAGTAAGCTTATGCGAAACCGGAAGTCCCCGTATTATCGTGGTTTTATTTTCATTTTTGTTTTCCGATGCTTCGAATCCTTTACATCAGAAATGGTGACGGGAAAATTTTGGTGTAGAGCAAAATAAATGAAAACAAAGGAACGTCAAATTTTCGTATCAACTATCAATCTAAGATGATAAAATATAAGTGTTTTTATATGGAAAAGCCTTATGTGCTATATATTTTGCCGTAACTCACCACTAAATAGCGCAATAACTTCTAGTTTAATGTTTAACCGATTGTGACGAAAATTGTTATAAAAGGTATTTGATTACGGAGAATTTTTTCGTGTTATCAATTTACTCAAAGCCACGGCTTCCTTTGAGTGAAAATATTTTTTTTATATTCAGTATTTTTTAAATTAAAATATTCAAAAAATATAAAATAGTTTAGGACATTTATTACATTTATTTTTTGAAAAAAATATTAAATGTTAAGTTCAAGTAACTACCAAAAAGTTAATAACAACAAAATATATATTCGCGTAATATTTTTTTAAATATCTCGCATATAATCTATACTTAACATATGAAATGTTAAACATACTCGCTTATCATTTTATTGACAGAAGTTAAACAGAACCCGGCGTTATTTTTTGCTACTTTAAAGGAAGTCGAGAACAATGCTGCCTTATCAACGAAATACTTTTACGTGATAACGTTGTACTTTTTTTTATTTTTATAGTTATTACTGTACAAGTAGTTATGTATCGGGTTCTGTGTGAAAGATTCTTATGAAGATAAATAAATAGAAATATATATGTAGATTTTGCACTTTCTGTAACTGTAAATTTCTTCATTTTTAGAGTTCGCTAAGTTTTACAGGCAAACCACCAGCCCCTAGGATTGAGTCGGGTTAAGTATAGCTATCGTGCTATTCTGTCAAGAAATTCTAAGTAACAGCTCAGAGTAGGGAAATTAGAGTATTTTACCCTTGAAAAGCATACTAAGCTGTCAATTCTGCACTTAATCATACAGTACATTCAGACATACAGGTATGCTCACGATATTTTCCTTCACCATAAGACAAGTATTGTGTGTGACCCGAGATTTGAACCCACTCTGGTTTTCAAGCAAACACGTTATCACTAACTAAGCTATCGCTGCCTTTCAATCGGCCAGGAAGATTTTATTAAATATGCGGTGGAACTCTCAGTATAAGAATCAAATTTATATTAAACTGATTTTTGAAGTATAAGATTAAAAAAATACTTTCATTGAAGTATGAAAAAGTGTAATCTTTAAAAGGTAATAATAATAAATATATTAAAAGATCAGGGCTAAAATATTTTAAAAATACATGGTATTACAATATATTTTATTTTTTCTATTTTATATTATTTTTAAATTATACATACATAAATAAACAAGTGATAACAATAAACATGTTGTCAGAATCTATACTAATATTATAAAGAAGTAGAGCTTGTTTATTTGTTTGTTTGAACGTGCTTATCTCAGAAACAGCTAATCCGATTTGAAAAATCTTTTTGCATTAGATAGCCCGTTAATTGAGGAAGGCTATAGGCTATATATCATCATGCTACTACACAAGGGAGCGGAGCAGTAATATAATACATAG